CTTTCGCTCCTCTTTTATCTCCTCTGGGAGGGGCCATTCATCGTCCACCTGTGTCCTTACTCCCAAGTCGACCCTTGTTTTTTAGCTGTTCCCTTCGTCTGGCAACTCTGCATATGCTCACACTGGGAACATGCTCCAGCTGTTCTTCTGCCTCACTGATGTCTGACTCTTAAGGCAGCTGATAACTGGCATACGGCTCTGGTCCCCACTCTGCCTCCAACACAGAGCCCTCCCCAGACTCCAGGACTGGCCCATGTTCCTCCCCAACCTCCTCACTTTCCGAATCTGCTGCCAGCTCCACTGGCTGCTGGCAGGCCACAACAGATCCCACCCGGCATCTGAACCCCTTTCCCGCCCTTCTCATTCCCCCCCCCCCCCAGGGCACCTTGTCTCCCTTGAAGCGCTCGGGCAGCAACCAGTAGTAGACGTCCCGTGGCAGAATGTGGAAGGAAGAGAAAGTGAGCTCCGAGCCTCCCGTAAAGCGGATCCCCTCGCTGACCGTCCGGGTGTTGGCAGAGTTGGCGAGACCGAACTGCCCTCTCTGAGCATCCTCGTGAGTCAGCTGCACCTAGAGCCAGGAGCAAAGTTGGGGGGATCAATTGCAGAAAGGGCCTCGGAGGGAACTTCAAAGTTGTGCCTTCCTGGGGGGGGGGGCGTTCCCCTCCCCCTTCCTTGAAGGAGTCTGCCCCAAGTGCTCTACCTGATCTCTGTTCCAAGAGGAGCTGGCACACTGGCGTGAGACCCCCATGCAGAAGCAGCGGAGACAACCCTCGGGGTTCCCGTGGCTCAGGTGGAAGCTGCCCGTGGCACACTCATTGCACGACCGCCCTTGGACGTTGGGCTGGAGAGAGAGGGGGGAGGGAGAGAGTGAGGGAAAGGGAGAGCGAGGGAGAGGGAAAGAGAGAGAAAAGAGAAAGAGGAAGAGAGAGGGAGGGAAAAAGAGAGGAGAGAGAGGGAGGGACAAGGAGGGAGAGAGAAGGAGAGGGAAAGGGAAAGAGAAGAGAGAGGGGGAGAGAGAAGAGAGGGAGGGAGAGCGAGAGAGACAGGGAGAGCAAGGGACAGGGAGAGAGAGAAAAGAGAAAGAGGGAAGTAAAAAGAGAGAAGAGAGGGAGGGAGAGGGAGGGACAGGAAGGGAGAGAGAGAACAGAGAGAGGAGAGGGAAAGGGAAAGAGAAGAGAGGGGAGGGAGGGGAGAGGGAAAGGGAGAGAGGAGAGAGTGAGGGAGGGCAAGAGAGAGGGAAAGGGAGATTAAGGGAGAGGGAAAGAGAAAAGAGAAAGAGAGGGAGAGAGAGATGAGAGAGGGAGAGGGAAAGGGAGAGAGAAGAGAGGGAGGGAGAGTGAGAGAGAGAGGGAGAGGGAAAGCAAGGGAGAGGGAGAGAGAAAAGAGAAAGAGAGGGAGAGAGAGAAGAGAGAAGGAGAGGGAAAGGGAGAGAGAAGAGAGGGAGGGAGAGTGAGAGNGGCCGTACCGCCCGGAACCCACTACTGGCGCCGGTGTCAAAACAGGATAGAGCAATACAGGTCTGATTGCTAGTGTTTCCTCAGCTCAACACCCAGAGAGGACAGGAGCCGCCCCACGTTCTCTGGGGCTCCTGTATGGGCCTAGGTCAGCGTACCTTGTGGGCACGACGCATCCGGGCATAATAGGTCTCCCCCTGGCAAGCAGGTCAGGCAGGAAAGAAGGAAGAAGCAGCAGGAAAGAGAAACAGAGAAGTCAAATAGAGCCAGTGCCTTTCCACACCCTGGCCTCGGTCTTGGGGGACAGAGGGAGGGTGGAAACCCCCCACCCCAATGTGCCACTCCCTGACCCTCATGCGCAAATCTGCCCCCTGTGGAGCCCAAGGGGAGAAAAGATATTGATGTTGCCACGATCAAGGGATTTTAGGGAAGATGGGTATAAAGTATTTATAGATACAGTAGTGGCCAAAATTGTGGGAACCTTTTGGGAAAAGTGTAGAGTATTTTTGAAGTTTCCTAGCTAGTAACAGCACTTTTTTTTTGGAGGAGTAGCAAAAGAAATAAATCACGGAACTTGTTGATCAAAAAAGCCGGCAGTTCGGCGGTTCGAATCCCTAGCGCCGCATAACGGAGTGAGCTCCCGCTACTTGTCCCAGTTGCTGCCAACCTAGCAGTTCGAAAGCACATAGAAAAATAGGAACCACCTTTGGTGGGAAGGTAACAGTGTTCCGTGCGCCTTCAGCGCTTAAGTCATGCTGGTCACATGACCATGGAGACTTAAGTATTGCTCAAAGATCAAGTATTGGACAAAAGACTGACACCCACACCCTCACATTGACTGGGAAGAGGCACATAAATTGTCAGCGTTCCCTGGAGGAAAAATCAAGAGATTTCCTGTGACACACACACATACCTGTCCGTCCCCCCCCCCAACGGAACAGAAGCCCCTGATCTGGTCCCCCTTCCTGTCAACGACCCCTCAATTCTGGCCAGACAGGAGGGTTTCCCCCACTCCCCAAAACTTCTAGGATGCCGGATTGGCCCCGCCCTCCCACCGGGACTCACCTTGTCTCCCAAATAGGCGTCCGGCAGCTGCCAGTAATAAGATTCCTGGCTCAGCTCCCCAAATTGCTCATAGGAGAGCTGAGGGCCCTCGGGGGACATCTCTACTGCAAAGCCGGTCAGAAGGCGGACGCTGCGCTGCCTGTTCACCAGCGCAAAGCCCTGGAAATCTCCGGGATGGAAGGTGGTGCTGACCTGCGGGGGACAGCAGAATCGGTTGAGGAAACCCTTGTCGGAAGACCTCTGATATCAACCCCCCCCCCCCCCACAAGGAGGGAAGTCCCAACTCCTTAACACAGGGCAGGGGTGAAATTCAGCAGGTTCTGACAGGTTCAGGAGAACAGGTAACAGAAATTTTGAGTAGTTCGGAGAATCAGCAAATACCACTTCTGGCTGGCCTCAGAGTGGCGTGCAAATGGGGATTTTGCAGTATCCTTCCCCCGGCGTGGAGAGGGGATGGGGATTTTGCAGTATCCTTCCCCCAGGAGTGCAGAGGGAATGCGGATTTTGTAGTATCCTTCCCCCAGGAGTGGAGAGGAAATGGGGATTTTGCAGTATCTNATACCCAGTTCCTGCAATTGTTCTTCATGTTTTAGCCTCCAGTTCCCTAATCATCTTTGTTGCTCTTCTTTGCACTCTTTCTAGAATCCCCACATCTTTTCTACATTGTGGCGACTTTCCTTGAGCCTCTGGGAGGGTGAAAACCTCCTCCCCCAGGCTTCAAAGGCCATCTGGACACCGAAACGAGCCTGTTTCCAGACTCCCGGAACTTCCGGTAGTCCCGTTTCCCCCCTCCCCAAAACTCCTGCACTTACCTCGCATCCAAAATGGGCCGCATGGTGACTCCTGGGAGGGTAGGGGTGGGAAGGGCAGGGCAGAGCCAGACAGGGGTGGGATTTGGAGGTTCTCCGAACCGGCCATAACGTTAGCTACGGGTTCTCCCGAATCCAGGCGAACCCATAGGAGCCCAACCCTGAATTGAAGGCTACTTCCGGCCAGGTTAGATTCTCACCTCCCGGAAGGGCACGACAAAGGTGGTTGACTCCCCGGGCAGAGGGGTACTGGTAGCCATGTGTTCCAAGAAAATGCCATTTCCCTGGATCAGAACGTTGGCCTGGTTGCGCAGCAGAGCAGAGCCGGGGTAGGCATCGTGGCTGATGGTGTAGCGCAGCTCTCCGCCATACGAGGTCACCTGGGGATGGAGCAGAGATCAGACTCGGCGCTCGGCATCCCCTTCAAACTCTTCCACCAGGGGGAGCCCCAGGATTGAAATCTGTATGGGTAGCCCCCCCAGGTATGACCCCCCCACAACAGAGCCCCAATTTTGCCAAATGAAATGCATCTCAAATGAGCTTTGACCATTTTACAGGCCCGGGAAGCGAGTCATGTGGTGGTTCAGCGAATCTGGTGGATTCCCCGCAGGCTCTGGTCATCAGGCGGCCGCAAAAGGGGGAATCACATGACACCAGGGATGCTGTGACCATCGTAAATAGGAGTTAAGTTGTCAAGAGTCTGAATTTTGATCATGAGGGTACTGCAATGGTCATAAATGTGAAAAACCGGTCGTAAGTCACTTTTTTTAGCGCCCTTGTAACTTCGAATGGTTGCTAAACTTACGACGACTGTTGTAAGTCGAGGACGGCCTGTGTTTATTTTTAATCATGAAACTTATTTGATGCCCATCTTGCAACCAACAACTCTGGGCATCTGTCGCTTAAGAACAAGCTAAGAGTCTGGAGGTCAGTCAGCATAGGAATATCCTGTTCTGACCGAGGCTTCACAAAGCCTGAAGCAAACTCTTTGTCCCTACAAAAAACCCTTTTATTAATTGACTGTGAATTCCTCTCATTCACATCCAGCAAAGTCTTTGGAGGGAGGATTTACAGTCACAGACCTTATCTGGCTTGGAGAGCTGCCAGGCTGATATCTGCAGAACTTGGCCAGGAGTCTGGGAGAGTCATGAGCCAATGAAGCGAACTAATTGTCTCCTGCAAACTCCACTCCCCTTTCGCTCCTCTTTTATTTCCCCTGGGAGGGACCACTCATCGTCCACCTGTGGTCTTACTCCCAAGTCGATCCTGTTTCATTTGTCTGGCCACTCTGCACATGCGCACTCTGGGAACAGTGGAGTCCTCCTGGATCCACAGCTGACCTTCGAGCATCATTTGTCAGCTGTGACCAGGGGGGCATTTGCCCAGGTTC